GTCATGGATCCGCTTGTGGACAACGGAGTGGCCAAACGGATGGCTGTTCTTCGCTTATATGGCGGCTCTTCGTTGTTGAACCGATTGGCGGATGTAATCAATGTGGAACTCGAGGGCTCGTCAGTAGTTCCCAGCGATGACTGAAGTGGTGTTATGAGAACGTAAGGGTTGGGAACCATTCGACTGTTTTTCTCCGACTTCACGCCCAAAGAGCTCTGCGGAACGGCTGAGGCGTTGCTATCCGTGGATACAGACATCTGTCGGTCGGCTAACAGTCTTTTGACATCGTTTTGAAGACTATTAACCAATTCATTGGTTTTCTTGTTTTCGTTGCGCAAAGAATTCAATTCAAATCTAACAGAAGTGACGCTTCGCTCGTATTTCATGTTTTCTTCGACCAAAGTGTCGACTCTTTGGCGCAAAGCCTTCACACAGTTATGGCTCTCGAGCTCTCGCTTCTTAAGCGTGAGACCACATCCGGACACACAATCAATCTGTTTGTCGGGATTGAAATCGCAGACAGGAATGTGTTGTCGCAGAGACTCCAAAGGAATCACTTGAAGACATCCGTTGCCAATGAATTTGCACTTCATTTCCAGTTTATCCAAAATATTTCGCATAAATCTTGGGATCGGCTTAAGAAGCGTTAGATTCAGGTATTGCCTGTCATTCGGACAGACAGTACTTCTTTGCAGCCATTTATGGATACAAACTATGGTTTAGAAGATAATTGGGTTACCATTACATCGAGTCTAAAGAGTGGATCCAATGGATCCATACCTTTGCAGAAGGAGTGCTCGCATTCTGGAGACCAGAGGCCGTCCTCCAGAACTCCTCCACAGATATTGCAAATGAGGTCTTCGTTAACCAGCGATGGACTCACAAAACAGTTGATTTCGAAACCCATGTCTCGTGTCTTCGTCTTCGCCGCTCTCTTCGAGACTGTCTTCGATGTGTTTAGCACTCAATCAGTGATCATGTGATCCAACACTGGGATCACAGCTCACATAAAGTCCGTCACAAATATAACAGTAATGAGAGTAATGTGCAGAGTATTCAAAAACAACTCAACACTATTGTTAGTACTGAAGCGCATGCGTGAAAGCGTGGATCCAATTGTGTTTAGTATTTGAAGCAGAAAAATGTTGCAACAGTGCTGACACATGCGCTGTAGTAGTAATAATATACAGGTGTGAACACAACTGGCTTTGTTGTGGTCAGGAATATCTGGGCAGTACTGTCCCGAGTTGGATCGGGGTCCCTGAAAATCACCATAAACTTATGTAGAATTTAACGCTGAAAACGAATATGAAGTTTAAAATCTTTCGAATATCGAATATCTTTCGAGTTATTCGACTTAGAACTCTTGTTCGAAAAATATTTTTAAACCTGAAAATCACCATAAACTTATGTAGAATTTAACGCTGAAAACGAATATGAAGTTTAAAATCTTTCGAATATCGAATATCTTTCGAGTTATTCGACTTAGAACTCTTGTTCGAAAAATATTTTTAACGAAATATATTAATATCTTATATGCGTTCAATACAGAATTCAACGCTGAACACGAATTTGAAATTAAAATTTGTATAGGTCGAATACCTTATGAGATATTTGACTTTAATGTTTATCCGAAAAATTTCTAACCTAACTAAACCTTATGGCTATTTTCAGGAACCCCGACCTGGAGTTGTGCTCAAACAAGCGCTTCTGAATTTTAATGTACATGTTCAAATCGTATGGTTTTGCTGTGTACTGTATAACTTTTTTCAAGAAACTTTACGTTAGAATTGGAAAATTCTTACTTAAATACAATATATTACCTTGTACTTATTTATAAAATACTAGACTTCAAAACATGTATTTTGCCAATAAAAGTGGTCGTTACAGCCAACCCAGAGGTCAGCTGACCATTTGAAGAGTATAATTAAACTGTACACATGTACACATACAGGTTGGACTATTGCAACTTTGGGCGATTTAAAATCTTAATAACTTTTTATTGAATAATAATTTTTACAAAATTTATTCAATATGTGATCCTTTATTCTTATAAATTTTATATACTCTTTTGGGCCAACTCTCGATCGCTTTGTTAATGAGTTCTTGAGGTAAACGCTTCCACGCCCTTCTGAGAGCTCTTTTCAGGCCAGCCATGTCTCTGACTTTTGTTTGGGAAATTATATGTTTAAGGTATCCCCACACAAAATAGTCCATCGGGGCCGCATCGGGACTTCTTGGGATCCATTTTTCTTTTGGTATGAACCGCATTGTCTTCTTCATGAACTCAGTGGTAAACTTTGAAACATGGCTGGGGGCGGAATCGTGATGAAGACTTGTTTTGCCCTTGTAGGACACGCCGGCCCACACCATAAACCCCTTTGCATTTGACTCGCGCCGATTAAATGTCTCGAGTTTGGGGCACTTTTGATCGCGACTAACGTATTGTATACGGCGTTTTCCGTGTCCATCAGACATGTAAAACCACGCCTCATCTGTGGTGATCATTCGTTGCCATTTAGACTTATTTAATAACTTATATAAGGCCAGTGATCGGGTCCGTCTGTTCTCGATATTTTTGTCGTTCATAACGTGAACTAAGCGTTTCTTCCGGGTCTTTAATTTTAATGTTTTGTGGATGTGGTGACCAATATTGGTCTTGCATGTCTTCAGGACTTTAGCCATGTGCTTTTGAGTCGGTGGATCCGTTTTATTGGCCATATTTGAGAGTGTCTTAAGTTTACGTTTGGTTAACACCCGTAATGTCTGCACATTCGGTGTCTGATTTTCCTTCTTTGGCAAAGACTTTTTGTCCATTTGTTTGATCCAATAGATGGTCCCTTTCGAGCACTTTATCTTCTGGTGTTTCAATTCATTAATAACTCTTGACTCGGAGTACCCGAGTCCTAAAAGGGCGCGCACACGGCCTACAAGAATCGGGTCCCGTTTAGGACCAGGCATTGTGTTTACACAAAAACTAATTACTTGTACCAAAAGAGGGATCTCTAATGCATTAATTTGTAAAATATTATTTACTGTTTTTATGTATTAAATAAAATACTACAGTTTGAAATCGCCCAAAGTTGCAATAGACCGGCCTGTATACATAATAAATTTTTAAGCAGGACTTTCCGAAAGAAAACTTAAGATAGGCTTTGCATCTATACTCTCATACATTGTATGATTTTACCATCATTTACCCATTCTTATTCGCACTGGGAAACTATGTTTAAACTTGTTTAAAATACAACTTTTAGCATTAAATACTCTGTATGTTTATTTTTGTTATATTTTAAAATACATTTTAATAATTATATCAACATTTTTGAAACATAAGGACGCACTGGGAAACTATGTTTAAACTTGTTTAAAATACAACTTTTAGCATTAAATACTCTGTATGTTTATTTTTGTTATATTTTAAAATACATTTTAATAATTATTAGTTGTAAAAACTTTGTATTCCAGGCAGGTTTACTATCGGTTCAAAAGATATCATCAAAGCGCAAGGGTGAGGATTAGTAAGTCTGTAATCTAAGTTAATTTGTAGTTAAGGACATAATATATTTACCAAACATAAATACAAACCGGAAATGACAACAATTTTCTGGGAATTATGTTCATCTCTGGCAATACGTTCGGCCTCTTCCATGAGTAGAGCGCCGAAGCCCTGGTGCTGGAACTTTGTCGGGTCTTTGGACGACACGGCAACTACTGTCCCGTAAACGTGTAATTCCCTAACTATAGACACTCTGCCTTTCAGTTCGGGTCTGAAAGCGGGTTTTGAACTCTTCCTGAGCCGTAAAAGACCAATAAGAATATCCTGTTCTACGTCTTCGTAGGACAGGAATGTCTCCCATCCATCATTGGCCGCGTAATCCCTTCTGATTAGTTCCACTTCTTCGGGCCTTATTTTGTGATGAATCTCCTGAATGCCGACCTCTCGCGTCCGAATATCTCTGCATTTAGTGCCGAAATCATTCATCCTTTTGAATCGATTTTGCAAATACACGCCAATGTATTTGTGCCGCCGATATTCATAGCACAAGAGCCACATATGCCCTCTCGACACGAGCGTCTGAATGTGAGGCTCGGGTCCATCTCGTTCTTGATCTTAATCAAGGCGTCCAAAACCATTGGACCGCATCTGTAATCCACATCATTTGCTAAATGATATAAACACTTGCAAATGCAATCAACTCACGCATTGAGGTCCACTTCATATGTCTGCAAATGTGGTTTCACTGAAGACTTTTCGGGATCCTATGTGTGAACGCATGAAAAGCATAAGTATTTTCCATTAAAGAGAAGCATTGCTTCAGATGTCTGGCTCTTATCAAATCAAGTGTTAAGCTATTGATTAGAGTAATTGCTTAGCGACTAATTTCCTGATTAACGCAACAACTTATCAATATTTGTGATAAGAAAAGGTTTTCTCTAATTATTCAGTTGTCAAGAATGCCGACAATTATTTCAAATCTCTTTTTATTACATAATATAATTAAATTTCGTTAAATAACTCTGTATTAAATCATATGCTAATTAAAACTAATTGTAATACGTTATCAAACAATGAGTTGTAATCTAACAGTAATAGTAGTTTTAATATGAATTACATGTTCATAGAAACGGACCAAACATTGAAAGTGTCTAAAGATATGATCAACACTTATGTTCATTAAAACAATTAACAAATAGTAAGTGTAGTGAAGGCCTCACACCTCATACCTAATGAGGCCTACATTAGCCTCAATGTAGAGGTAATGATGGTCTCAATTGTGGTTCAATAATGACTGAAAATGCAATACAAATATAACAATCACTAACCCATCGATAGATTGAGAATTTCTTCAGTTTCTCTTTGCTCTTCGGTTCGGCCATTGTTTGAGTGGTTCTCACCTTTAATTCAATACAAATTTAATATACGCTAAATGTGTTGACAATTAACGGTAACATTGAATCACAATTAGAGCCAATACTCACACCAATGGATGGGTAGTAGAGAAGACATTGTTTGGGACACCGACTGAGAAGTGATGACATCTTCGCTATAGTGTGGACGCAATGAATCACTCAATCAATCGATTCATTCAATTATCTTCACTTCAATTCAAATCAAAGTATATTTCACTTAACACTCAAACCACAGAATATGAGACGATTCAGGTTTCGGCCAATTCTTGCCTTACATTCACTGCTTGTGTTGACACACTTTTCAATTGTAATGTATGTTAACATTCATTCACCGAAAACTGATTTCACGGATTACTCTTACATCCAAAACACGTGACAACAAATAATGTCACAAATTGTGGGCATTTTTCAGTGCATTTTGTGGTCTAAAATGTGGACGTATTTCATGTGACAATTGAAGTGCATTGAAGTGATTGCGTGTCTCTTCACTGTGTCTTCAAATCCAACACTCGTTTCAATATTTTTAAACATTTGTTTTATTAATTGATTTAATCGTTACATAAGAGGAGAGGAAATGGCTGTCGGAAAGAAAGCGTTGACTCGAGAGGAAGAGCTTCTTCTTCAGGACTTCAGTCGCAATGTGTCGACCAAATCGTCGGCACTTTTCTATGGAAACGCTTTTATTGTTTCGGCGATTCCTATCTGTGAGTGATTTTGATGATGGGATCAATTGATCGGTTATATGACATGAATGGCTAATGACTAGATGTATGATATGATGATAGGGTTGTTCTGGCGGATCCATCAAATGGATTTGTATCAGTCGATTGTGGTGTTTGTGTTGGTGTCGGCGATCAACACATGGCTCGTGTCGTTCGCCTACAAGAATATAAAGTTTGTTTTGAAGCACAAAATCGCGCAAAAACGAGAGGAAGCGGTCGCTAAGGAAGTGATGAGAGGTATCGGAGACGACAAGAAGATGACCAAAAAGGAAAAGGACGAGAGAGTGCTCTGGAAGAAGAACGAAGTGGCGGACTATGAGGCGACCACTTTCGCCATCTTCTACAACAACACACTCTTCTTAGCGCTCGTTGTGTTCGTCTCCTTCTATATCCTGCGATCCTTTAGCCCAACAGTGAATTACTTGGTTTCGGTCACCGGTTCCGGTGCTCTGTTAGCCTTGTTCTCCACCGGTTCCCGATAATTGATCCGAACCTTTCATTCTTATCATTTATTTTGATAATAAATTTTAGTTTCACTTCCGATAAAATGTGTAAATTTATTATATTCTTAAATACAGTATAAACAGATTTCAACATTAATTATAGTTTAAGGGTTAGACCCGTTGATAACAAACCCATTTAATAGCGTTTAAGTTATCGTATTTACAAAACGGTACGTGTATTACGAGATTGTCAGCCGATATATGAATGGTTTGATCGAAATTATACGGCAATTGAAAATGTTTTTTATCTTTGATGAGAATTTGATTCGTTTTAAGCCATCGCTGGAATAGAGAGGATTGTGTGTCGATTTTGGGCATATAGTCTCGATAGAGATCACTGGAAATGATGGCTGTGTTGTGGTGTTGGAGCGCAGCGTATAATATATAGCAGTCGTCTTGAGTTTTATTCATCGCATAAAACATTGAAATCTTTTGCCTTTCATCCCAAAGCAATTGATTGAGTCGTTTCCAGCTCTTCATGTGTTTTCGGCCCACAATTAATATATTCTGGTATTTCGTCAATACATTATTCCGTAAGAGTATATCCACTGAATTCTTATCGATATTTTGCTTCGAGAATATTTGCACGAATTGTCGCAAATTATTCTTGTCTTCGACGACATTAGAAGAGGTGGCAAATGCTATATTGAGGCCATCAATCACCAGATCTAACGGTCCTTTTGCAGTGATATTTCGTATAAATTTGTCAAAATTTTTCAATTCTTTCTCATATTCTGGTAACGAAGCCATTAATATATCGTTTTCTTTATTGAATACAATTGCTTTAAACTGACGAAGAAGTGTCTTCTGCTCATCGGCTGACAATCCTTTCAAAGTTTGGTTACATTTCAAACACAAACCGTTTCGTCCGATCGCTGTCTCAATTTTTCTATACGAAAGTCTTTCCATAATTGTATTGAATTTCGCTTTCATTTCCAAATCAAATACAATAAGATTTTGACTAAAAATTCTTAATATATTTAATGTTTGATTGAAATTAAGTTGAGAATCAATGATGGAATCAATTACTTCGGGAACCAATTCATTGTCTAATTTTAAGGCAGGAAAGCATTTAATCAAATCAAACGCTTGACTAAAAAGTTTAAATTTGATACACGAATGGATTATATGTTTGATTAGATTGTGATCTTCCGTTTTCAAAGAGTCCAAGAGTTGGATTGAATGCAGACAATTGTCTTGTGATGATTGGGCTAATGCTGTGATACAGTCACTCATCACTGGATAAGTGATCTGATTATTGATATACTTGTGCGACAATTGATCGCATGTCTGTCGGATGAGCTCAACATCTGAAGAGTCGATGAAATGATTGAAATGACTGATGAAATGACAGAAACGCGAGGAAGCGATGCTATTGTTGGCTATATTTGGCAAAACTCTTATAAATCCTATTAAAGATTTGAACAGTTTTTGGTCCACTTTCTGACTATCGGTTCCGTTATTCAAGAGAAAGGCTGACATCAAATCCATTTCAAAGTTTTGTCTAAACACTAACTTCTCGTCAGACAATTGGGTCAGCAATTGATTCCAATCGATGTTACCATTGGTCTCGACATTCTTCTTGAGCACCACTTCTTGAATGGTTTGCAATTTTGACTCTTTTTTCAATTGTTTTTCTCTCAAAAACTTGAGACTTAAGTCTCTTTTAATGGGAATCAAACAAATCGATTGACATCTCCTGATCACAGGTCTTATCGATAGAGCAAACAATACAGACATTAATCCAATTGTTTTGAAAGACAATCAATTGTTTGTAAAACTGATTGAAATCAATGTTAACTAAAAGTGAGCATAACTTTCATCATTCAAAACAACATTTCTATACTCTTTAATATACGGCGTGTTTCCATACAAATCCCATTCCCACCGCTTTCACACCCTTTACATTCACTTTCACTGCATAGCAGACATACTTACTGTATGTATTCATGTATAATGTTTATGTTATATAATGTTAGGCAGAGAAGCCCATAAGGTTTCGAAGGGGCACTACTTATACGTGATTGCATGCAATACTGCTTTCATTGCATTTAAATGTTTGTGTTTTTGTTTTGAAATTCAAAACACGTGTTAAAAGTTGTAATAATTGTGAGAAATATTAAAAATCCATTGATTTAATGATCAAAACCTGATTTAATTGTTAATAATGACCAAAAAAATTAGAAAGAAATGTAAGTTTTGTTGATTTGATTCATAATTGTATTATTATTAACATATATTTGTCACTAAATTAGACAACGATTTGAGTGAATCTGAGCTCAAATTAATGACAATTCAAGATATAATCAAAGAGTTGTTGAAGAGTTTAAGCGATGGCAAAGACGTGAACCTAACCAAACTCAAGTGTGAAGTGTCCCAAAAATATGGTCTGCAATCTCAGCCCCGATTAGTTGACATCATATCGTGTATACCTTATGAACACAAACAGCTACTGCTTCCCAAACTTCGGGCCAAACCTATCCGTACGGCCAGTGGTATAGCAGTGGTGGCCGTTATGTGTAAACCCCATCGCTGTCCACACATTAATATGACTGGAAATATATGTGTATTGAAATGAATGCATTTTCACAAACCGTTGACCGCATCTCAATATTTTATTAATCTCTTTTTAGGTCTACTGTCCCGGCGGTCCGGACAGTGATTTCGAGTACTCGACCCAATCATATACGGGTTATGAGCCGACATCTATGCGGGCCATAAGATCTCATTACAATCCATACCTTCAAACGCGTAACCGAATCGAGCAGTTGAAGCAATTGGGACACAATGTGGACAAAGTTGAGTTCATCGTTATGGGCGGCACTTTCATGTCTCTGCCCAATGAGTATAGGGACTACTTTATCCGCAATCTTCACGACTCACTGTC